ATGGATGGATAGATAGATAGATGGATGGACAGACAGACAGATAGATAGACAAATAGTTCGATGGATAGATACATAGACAGCTTCACAGCTTCGCTGTGTTTTGTTTGTGTTGCGTTGGCCAGGCTTGGGGTCCTCAAGGTACTTGTGGGAGAGCCTCACCTCCTTTGCAAATCCTATCACTACAATTTTAGACTGTAGGCATATATTAGCAATTAGGATCTACATGGGTATACGGGTGTAAGCAAATACAATCTTCAAGGCAAAACCCATCTTTGAGCCCAAACCTAGAGGTTGAAGCTTTGAAGCTTTTATCCCTAACCTGCAACACGCAAACCGCCCCGCAGACCTTACAGAAACCCTTCGAGGGTTAAGCCTGCGCCCGGCGACCGACAGCCTTGAGCGCAAGGGAGATTCTAAATGTTCCCGTAGCAATGGTACACAGAGTTCAGTCCACGGCAAGCAGCATTCCTGTTTGGGATCTCCAAGGTCACCAGCTCCAGAAGTCACGCTGTACTGCAGGTCTCGAGCATTGCAGCATGTGTGGGTTTATGGTTTATGGTGGGGCTGACTGTAACCAAGAAACCATGAAGTAGTGCCGATGCCTCAACGAAGCGCAGCAGTCTGAACCTCAAGCTGCAAACTGCAGCACCCCAAAACTACAGCCAACTTGGGGCTTCTGACCCAATCACTCAAGCGATGCAGGTTGAGCTTCAGGTCATCAGATTCGAAACCAGAACCTGCTTGGCAGGCTCGTAGAGACAGGCGCCAGACCCTAACGGCTCCATGCTACACTCTTCAGAGAAAGTTTGAGGCACATCTTTTGATCTGACTCGGGAAGTCTTCTCTGAACTGAACTCACCCTTAGCCTAAACCCCTACACCGCTTGCAGTGCGGGGCCGGACGTGTGAAGTGACAGACGGAGTTGGGGCATTTCCGATTCGGCCACTTGCGGTGTGGCGTTTCGTGCTTCGTGAGTTTACTGAACCTGGATCTGCGTTGCGCTTCAGGCTTTCTATGGGTATCGGAGGTTTCGGGCGTTTTTTTCGGTGTTCAAACTTCGATTCAACTGTTTCGCGGGCCGAGCTTAGCCTGGAGAGGTCATGGTGCATCAGCGAGATCGCACCGCAGACATCGTGGCTCACGCGTCTTGGCACCGGCATGTGGGTTGAGGATATGAACAGAGACACCGGACCCTTCAAGCCACGCGCTGCCCTGGACTCCGTACACTTCCCTTCACCCCACCCCCTACAGCTGGACTCTAAACTCCTCGATTGTCTAAGCCCCAAAGCCTAAGCCTAAACCCCTTGGCCCAATATCCCAAAGCACGAAAACTGTAAGCGCTAAACCCCGTCGCCTAATATCTGGAAGCCCTACAGCCGAACCATAAACCCTGTGGCCGCCCAGCCCAATACCTAATCAAGCCTAAAACCTAAAAGTCCTAAGTAAACCTCAAACCAAACCCTGATGCACACTCTTGCCGAAAGCCTTCATTTCTAGTGTAATGTATCAGAATAACGGTAATATAGTATCATATCCGAAACCCTCACAGGTTAACTTGGGGAAGCTCTCCATGATCGATCTCGCAGGCTCCGACGTTTCTACCAGGGCTCATGGCTTCGGGCATTTGTTTGTGAGTTTGGGTTAGGCGTTGTGCGCTACCGCGAAATTTTGAGGTTCCGGGCTTTCAGGTGAAGGCTAGAGTCGGCTAGAGCTTCGGAGTTGGAAACTCGTGTTTATAGGGTTTCGGGTGGGAGCAGAACTGGTTATCCGCATGTGCGAAAGGCAGCGTACACGGGAGTCTTATAGCGACGGAAATCCCTTTTCTTCCACCTTCCAAGTTGTCGGAGCTCCCTCCAGGGAGCACGCTGCGAGGGCTTGGGTAAGGTGGCGGATTCAGGGGCATTCTATTTCCGGTCACTGTTTCCGGGCTTTGGTGACGACAGGTCTAACTGGTACCTGAAACAGAGCCCCGATTTAACTAGAACGTCTCCCTGTGGAGGTGTTGAGGTTCGTTGGTTTCGGATCTTGGTTCGGAGTTTCGGGCTTCAACCCTGTGGCCTCATTGCAGATCAGGATCTGAGCGGGCATCGCAGACCAACAACAAAGGCCGGCCGCAACGTGCGTCTGCTTTGTGTGTGTGTGTGTGTGTGTGCAAGCCATTTTGATACCTTTCTTCATGTCGGGCACTGTCTTGCTAGCCACACAAAGTACCATGCTAAGCTCCCGGAGTTCCTGAAGTCTTCAATCCCAAAGCCACAAGCCTTAAGCCCCTGGAGCCTTCCCCGAAGCGCCGACATTTTTTCGTTTGTCGGTGTCAATTTCGGGTTTCTGTTGGATCTGAATTCCAACCACACTCTTCGGCCCGCTCGGAGAAAACACACGCGCACACGCTAACACATATATATATATATATATTTATTTATTTATTTATTTATTTATATTTCTATTTATATTTACACACACACTGTATACACCTACATACATCCATTCGTTCGTTCGTCCGTCCGGACACATACCTATTGTATACTTACGCTTACATGCGTCTATACACATGCACCTACGTTTACACGGGTACATGCACATCTGTACGAAATGTGATCGGGTTTACGGCATATATATATATATATATATACACATGTATATATATATATATGTATATTATTTATTTATTTACACATACAGCATGCCCCCGAAGCGCGAAGCCCCTGTATGTTCCATGTCGGTCCCTTGACCCTTGATTTTGTGTATATCTAAAAACCCTTTCGAATTAGGCTAGCATGAGAGTACTTCAAAGCGCGTAGTCAGTTGCCATACCTAAACCTTCAAGCTAAACCCTATTACGCATACGCCCTGACCCCTGAAAGCCCGAGCCCGGGCATGTGGCTGCTCTGTTGACTCTCCGAGAATCTGACGGAAGCTCCGGAACACAGACTAATTATCCGAGACAGGTAGTTTAGGGTCAGCTGCTCAACGTGCAGGTTTGCAGTCGGAATCATGGTGTTCAGGCATATTATGATGATTTATATGCACATATGAGCCCATACTCTCCCTAAACCCTCCACTCTAAACCACCACCAGGCATGCGCATGATTGAGGGCGCCAACATCAATCGTTCCCTTCTTGCTCTTGGCCTCTTGCCTGTCTCATGCGATGGCCTTAGGCTGTTAAACCAAAGGACTTTAGCTAGTGTCTTGTTCATGCTGTGTAGATATCAGGGCTTTCCATCTTCGGTGTGGGGTTTAGGGACTTTGGGGCCATCAGCTGGTGTAGGACGATGGGCTTTCGGAGTTGTTGGGGTTGCATGAGGATTTAGAGTACGGCCTTCCGTGCAGCTTTGCGGTCCAGGTCTTATAGGGCTTGGGAGTTGGGTTGCAGGGTTCAGTCGGAAGTTGGGGCGTTGTACCCTAGGCGCCCAGAAGGCCCAGAGCCCTTTTCCAGCCTGACGTCCAAGACCAGGCAACACAGCCCAAATTCCTTCCGGTATTGGGCACGGCCCCAAACCCTGAAGATGTCGAGTTTCGTCTGTTGTCATGGGGCATCCCAAGTCCAAACTGCAGCTGATAAGGCCTTGAAAGCCGAACACTTGAAGAACTTCAGCCCCCTAAGAGAGGCGTCCTGCCAGCCACCCAATCCTCCTGAAGTTGTGAGCTTTTGAGGGTTCGGGCATTGTGTGTCGGGGTAAAGTGTGGAGTCAGTGCAGGGTTCAGGGGTGATGTCAGGAAACTGCATTACTGCCCTGAGCTCTGCGGTCGCCTTCGTGCCCTATCGCCGGGAGCTTGGATCAGAGGATGAGGGTACGGGATAGAGTCCAGGGTTCACCGATGTCGTGCTAATGTTGCATCTTGTGTGATGCATGGTGCAAGACGTAGCATGGCGGATTCGAGGTAAAGTATTGAGGGCTGTATCGCTTCAGAGGCTTGAGCGATCTTAGGTAGGCAGGGATATTTCAGGAACCCAACCGGTATGACCAAGCTAATACAGGAGCCTGAGGAATGTCTTGAATATTTTACCCATGTAACTCCCCAAACCCTAACCCTAGCCCCTAGATTACTTGCGTGTAGAGGTGCTCCAAGGCAACGTCCCCTCCTTTGTCATGGTCTGAATCTTTGCCAGAGCAGGATTGTTCTTTAAGCTTGAAAGTTTGTCGGCTGCTCTGGTGTCGTATGCTGGCGTGTTCGGTCTTGTGCCACTGAGAATATGTGCCTGCTGAGCGTGCAACGTAGAACTTGATGGTTCATTCATACTTCCAGTCTCATGCAGGGATGATCAGTGCCTCAACAACACTTACCACACCCGGCAGACAATAGCACCCGATAAATCGCTTGGCTGTAATGTTGAAGCTGATATGAGGAAAGCAGATCATCGCTTGGACGGTTCTGTAGACAAGCATCGCCAGATCAGTGAACCCGGTTGTGTGCTGCAGCAGATAGACCACTGAAATTCTTAAAGTTTGCTGTGCGATCTGTGATTTGGGGGACTCAGATGCCTCATATTAGCCCCTGACGAGTTGCGCTTTATCTCTGGCGCCACTTTGGATACTTCATACCAAATGCTGAAGGTTGCAAGTATAAGCATGTCACAGATCTAAGCACCTGGATATGGGATTACAGGTCCAGAAAGCCTCCAAACATATATTTTGAGCCCGAATCGCAAGCTCCTTAAGCACCGGGCATGTCATCACAGCTCTTCAGACCTAAGGCGACTCGAAGATGACACGCTTGCTGAAGGCCTGCCCGGGCTTCATCCCACGGGTCGAGACTTTAGAGAAGTGTTTGGGCCTCTGGAAAAGTAGGTCTTAGTCTTAGGCCCAAGGGTGGCTTTGGCTTTGCAGTCTAAGTTTCAGGTCTTCAGGCTTTCTGTGTAGGGGTCCAACCTTTGGTTCTTTCTGTGGACCCCTGCGAACACTTGTGCCAGTTTCGAGGTCCCATGTTTTTGCTTTCAGGCCTTCGTATTCAGACAGTACATGAGTACAGAAAGTCGAAATGACTGATCTGAATCATAAGAATATGTGAATGTAGAACAAAAGCTTCATTCTCGCAGATCTACGCATGATTTCCTAGAGCATGTAGAGGACGAAGCGATGAACTCCACCCATCCTTCTCGCCTTCAAAGCGTCTGAGTAGAAACGGCTCGTCGGCTCCCGGTGCCCATTTTCTGACGAAAACCGAAGCCTCGAAGCGTGAGATTAAAGCGCAGGTTTTGAGCGGGTTCGAGGATCGCCGCTGCTTCACGCAGCTTCTGATTTCCCAACTTTCCACATCCCTATGGTTATCACCCATATTTCAAAGCCAAGAGGACTCCCTGGGTGGCAACTGCCGAACGGTCATGACGCCAGACTGCATCTGGTGGCAGGGTTGGGATGGTCCTGATTTAAGTCCCCTTGCTCTGCTGTACAGAGGCCATCGAAGACCCTCAGCCCAACGCCAAAACTACCCTTAGGCCCGTTTACAAACCATACCCAAAGCCCGTCGCTTCAAGCCCGAAGCCCTGAGACCCTGAACGCTGGGCCGCAAATCCCTTACCGGTTTGGACTTTTGATTACAGGTTTGATATAGGATGTCGGGTATAGGGCTTGGGATTAGGGTTCATCCGAGTCCGAAGCAATCGCGGCAAGTTTCCTAATGCGCACAGGCAGCAAACTCTACCTGTCTGCCGCGCAAAACCCCAACTCTGATGTCCTTCGGTTCTCTCGTGACAACTGAGCGCCCCAGCCCCTAATTTTGCAAGCAATCTCTCAGGATCGCCAATGTCAGCCCCTGCCACCACAACTACGAGGACACGCACAACACTTTGCGACTGGATCTGCACATGAAGTCAGTTCTTGGCACCGTTAGCCCGGATTTCCTAACCGGAGTGGGGGTGAAGTGAGAAGCCACAAACCAGATCTTCGCATCAGAAGCTCTGGTCATGGATCCATTTCTTCTCCAATCCTGCACCCAAGCGTGTCTCAAGACCCTGAACCCTTACCTGAGCTCGGTCCACAACCCCCCCTCCCCTCGAAGCGACCTTGAAGGGCTTCGTGCTGAACTGGACAGAGGTCGGACCCTGCGCCGGAAAACCCCCACAGACTCTCCCAGATAGATAGCAGGGATGACAATTCCTGGGTCATCATCTCTTCCCAGATCTCAGAACCTACACCCACACCCCTCTGCCCCAAAGCTACACCCTGGAACGACCAAATCTTTTTCCAGACCACGAAAAATATACTCCATGTCAACCCGAAAAAGATCGCGAACATGGAAGTCAAGCCTTTTGACGAAACTTGCCCCTAACAGCCTCGCTCCCACAATCTGGTTCATCACGGGACTTTAGCCCAGCACAGAAACCGCACGACGTTAAAGCACAAAAGCATCACGAGATCCGGCTAAACATCCCGCAAGCGAATCGTATCACCAAATGCTCCTTCCTTAGATGCCTCAGCCTTGCGCTAAAACCCCATCGCGTTGGGAGTTTCGGACACGGGAGGGACCCAAAATAGAGCCGAAATAGTCAGATCCTAATTGCGAAGATCCTTCACCCAAGAGGCATGCCATCGGATCCCCAACGTGAAGATCACTCCCAAAAAATAACATCAAACTCTAAGCAACGAGCTCAGGAAGTACGCCAACCGTGCCAAAAACATCAAGACGAAGGCTGTGCGCAACGTCCTGCTCCCGGCTTCTGCATGTTCGGGTCTACATGCTAGGATTTTTCTCAGTCGGGTAATAGTATGGACTGCTTCAACATTGCTGAAACGCCCTAGTAGCCGTGTCTCGTCATGGGCTGTGCCTGCTACGTAAAAGGCGTCCATCCCAAGCATGCCCTTTTGGCGGCCATATGGGTGTTCACTTTCTAGCTTTTGTACTGGCAGTGTTCAGACCGGAGGGCTTTATGGCTGATAGGGTTTAGGGTTTAGTTGCAGGTTTTGGGCCTTGAGGTTTGAAGGTTTACGTGGCATAGGGCGAATGGCCTCTAGATCTTTGTAGGGTTAGTGCTTTTGGGATTTATGGGCTTGGTCGGGTGCTCCGAGGTTTGTGATACGGTCCACGGGATTGAAAGGCCCCCTCTCGAACGAGGTCATCTTCCGGTGCAGAAAGAAGGTGACTTCGCCAGCCATGTCTCGTATACAGTTACAAGAAAGCTAGAAGAGTTTGCAGGCTTCCTCGTGGGATGCCGAGGCTCGGGATTTGGTTTTTCGTTTGTGTTAATGCCAGGACAAAGTACACCTAAGGGCCCGAAGTATCCAAAAAATCGGAACCCGGATAAGGATAGTAGCATTCGTAGGTTAGTATTCTGGGGACTGATTATCAGACCTTCGACCCTTACGGTTAAGGGCATCCCGTGCAAAAAAAAGGTGGTGCAGGTCAACTACCATGTCTCCAAGTATACGGAGATCATCAAGGAGCAGCTTGTGTTCCCCCATGCAGCTTTTTCGAGCTGCGGGGCTTGGGTTTAGCATTTTGGATTTAGGGTATGGTGTTTGGAGATTTTGGTCTTGCGGTCGGTTTCCGGCTTTAGTGCTAAGCTTCGGTCTTGCTCAACCACCAAACCCGAACGCTATGTGCTCCGGTTACGTACGTTCTCGAACCCGGAATCCTGCCATTTCAAAACCCAGCCCAAGCCCGGCCCAGCCTGTGCTTTCTCGTGGCACTCCTGCCACCCAAAACTATCGACGAGCGCACCGGAGCATTTAAGCCAGGGCCCCGAACAGCTAAACCCCAAGAACGAAACCTAGAAAGTAAACTCTAAACCTTCAACCTTAAGCCTATATACTGTCAGACATAAGCCACTAAACCCTTAAACCCCAAAGAGATCGGAGAGATGCTCCCAAGAGGACCTTCGGAGCGAGATCCAGGAGCTTAAGGCGGGTCCAAGGAACCGATTCACGGTTTGACGTGAGTTTTGGAGATGAGGGATTTCAATCGGCCGAGGGTTTAGGGTTCCAAGAAGCCCCATCTCCGGTAAACCCTCATGCCCTAAAGCCTGAAACCCGTAAACCTTGTCACAAACCTATACCCTAAACTCTGAACCCTAAACCCTATAAACATGGGTTTTACGGTTCGGTTCGGTGCTCCCACCGTGGGAGGGAGAGGAGAGAGGTGGTGGGAGGGGTGAGGTCGGAGGTGGGGTGGGTGGGGGGGGAGGGGAGCAAGGAGAATTTGGGAGGGTGTGGGAGGTGAGGTGGGACGGCTTCGGTTCGGTTTGATGCGGTCCCAGATGTTGTGTTTGGCAGGAGCAGGCGGTTCGATCAGATACTCGATCAAAGTATTCTTGAAACGGCCATGATAGAACCCTGAATGCCCACCCCTTCGACCAGAACCTGTAATATATATATATATATATATATATATTGTGTCCATATATATATATATATATAATATTTTATTGAAAGATACTATAAAATAGAATTTGTCTATAAACTATGTGTGTGTGTGTATATATATATATATGTATATGTATGTATATACATATATATATATATACATACGATGCAATGTACTTCAATATAGTATAACAGACAAGCATATAATATTGTACGATATATGGTGTATATATATATACATATATATATATATTACGTGAACACAACATGATGTAACATAACACATCTTAACATAGTACAACAGAATAGAGAAGAATAAAAAGGCAAGGTTATATTATTATATATATATATATAGTTGAAATCTCTACTGTACTGTAATATAAGATCGGGCTTCGTATGATATCGTGTTTACTATATCAGAGTTGCCCTTGAGGCAAAGCTCGCCGAGCCTCCTGAGCCGAGCCTGGCCTCAGAGGTCCTTGGGCCCTGTCTTTAAAGATGAGTCCGGGTCTAGGGTTTAGGGTTTAGGGGTTTGGGGCTTGGGGTTCACGGTTTAGGGTTAAGGGTTTAAGGGCTTGAGGGTCTGGAGTTTTTTGAGATTCGGGTTAAGGTTTGGCTAAGGCGATGCAACCAGTCTGCAACTCTCAGTGATTCTATTAAAATCCTTATGTGTTTAGGGGGCTCGGGTTTCAGCCTTTTCTTCCTCCGCGTTTCCGTTGGCTCTACAGTCTAGACCGTCGGCTTCGCACTCCTCAGTTCAGGATTTCATCCTGATACCGGTTATCATTAAACTCCCCGTCCCAAATCCGATATTCATACTAGGCCTTATACGCAAACTTTGGAGGCATCATCCAAATCCTGAGCCTTTGATCCGTCGGGCCTGCGCCCAATCCTTACACGCACCTTTTGGGCCCTGAATCCATTTCCCTAAACCAAAATCTGCAGTCCGGAGTCCAGCGCCATGCGTTTGGCCAGGCGATTGGGGATGAGGGCAGCGAGCTCGACACCACACAGAGCGTGAAGTGGATACCTGTCAAATCACTAGTATTGATGGTCATTGGCTCATGCATTGAAGTATTTAGGGTTTGTGGTTTCGGGGTAGGAATCGCATTCTAGAGTAGTCTACTTGCATCTTTGAGTTTTCATAACTACCTGGTCCCAAAGCGCTAGTTAGTCATTGCTGGTTGTGAGAGGTCTGCCAGGCAAGGAATAGCCCCAAAACTGGGTTGACCACAGTGGTGAGATTTCAGTTTTCATCCTTCATCATGGAAAACGTTCAACTGTTTCATGTTGGGATTGGTTGTAGTAGTCGTCGTAGTAATATGTTATACTAACAATAATAACGTTACGTCCTCGACGCGCTAGCAGCACCAGCAGCAGCAGCAGCACGTGTAGTCTTCTGGAATGTGTCGCTTCAGTAGACAAGCCGCTTAAGACAGTGCGCTCTGGGAGTATTAATGTCGAGGGGGTGTCACCGCTCTGGGCTTATGCTGGGGTCCACATCGACTCGATTGCTCTCAAGGGTATGGGTGCAATGCAGCCTGAAGCAGTGCAACAGGTTGTAAAGCGCTTACGACCTTGTGAAGCTAATGCAGAACCTTGTAAACACAATTTAGAGTTGTGTACAGCTTGTGCTTGACAAGGTGGGTTTTATGCAGGCGACACTCTCGACAACTTATGGTACAAGGTCGGTCTGACAGGATCTAGGACACTTCTGAACATTGTCCCAGCCAAACAACGAAAAAGACTGAGGAAGTATGCTTGCACGTAAAGCCCGTGAAGATACTTAGCAGAGTTTGCTTGCGCATGGGTTTGGCCACTTCTAGGAACTACATAACAACAGATGAAAGCTTATGCAAATTTTCTGGAGGCTTCAGAAACCCAAGCATACCCCAGATGGTTTCGAAGTCGAAGTAAGGAAGCATGAGCTCATGACGAACTTCGAGGCGTGTGTTTGCTGTTGTTTGTTATTTATTTATTTTTTTTTTTGGGGNNGGGGGGGGGGGGGGCGAGGGCTTTGCTAGGGGCAGCCCCTGCTGAACGTCGTGTAGCGACATGCGGCATCAAGTTTCAGACGGTTTTCTACCTGCGCAACTCAACACCGAAGTCTGCTGGCAAACGGCGGATTCGGCGGATGTTGCAAGCTTGTCTTCAGGTGCTTCCCAGCCTGGTATCTCTACTTGTCTACTTCAAGCTTTTCGGAATCCAAAATGCTAGAGAAAGCTGAGACCCGCTTCTTTGAGACAAAGCCAGGTTCCCCAGTCACAAGAGCTAAGCTGCAAAAGTCTGAGGCGTAGTTCACGGCATGCAGAGGGCTCGGCAAAACGCTGACAAAACCACCGCCCTCAGAAGCACTGGAATCTGATCGCGGCCCGAATCCAAATCCTCTGAATCTTGATCCGAAATGTTCTGCGGCTCACTCGCAAGATGATATGTTGATATCACCTTTTCTCGGGCTGCACCGTTGCCACCTCGATGATGATGATGATGATGATGACGATGACGATGACGATGACGATGACGATGACGATGACGATGACGATGATGACGATGACGATGATGACGATGATGGTGATGATGATGATGATCTTGATCGGTTGAGACGGCGATGGCGATGGTGATTGTGATGACGGCGGTGGTGATGGTGGTGGTACTGGTGGTGCTGGTCGTGGTGGCGCTGGTGCTGGTGCTGGTGCTGGTGCTGGCACATTCATCCCAAGATCTCACGCCCGTGCCCGAACCCGATTTCACTTCACCCTGCTGATGTGCAATCTGCAGTGGCAGGAGCGCGTGCGAATCAAGCGTCGCTTGATCGACCTGGCACATGCTCTCCCCTCAGCAACCAAATTCGTACTGAGACATGGGCCCGTTTACATAGAACCTTTTAAGTACGACAACGCCCTATGGAAAAACGTTTCAATCGCTTCGATATTTCGACATGCTCATGTTCGACCTGTGTCAGCCCAGTTATAATAAGCTTTTGGGCCAGAATTTTTACAGCCTTTCTCGGTGTCGCGCAGCGTTTTAAGGGGTTTCAGGTTTAAGGCTTTGGGCTCTCCGTTCCATTGATCCCTGACAGGCGCAGCCCTATACCATGTAAATCCAACTCCTCAAAGGTACACCCCCGCGAATACCGCACAGCGATGTCCTGAATCCTAAATCGCAGAACCTCAAAAACCGGAATGGTTCCACGATGTCCAGATCAAGTCTGACAGCCGTGTCAACTCGAATTACCCGGAACCCGAGGTTCCGGAGTTCGATTGGTGGTTTCAGAGACTTGGGTTTGGGGCGGAGAGGGTGTATGGAAGTGGGTAGCAGTTTGGGATTCGGGTCATTTTAGATCATGGACTTCCTGACGGTGCTTTCTGCGATAGGTCTTCGGGGGCCCTTCCAAAATCCCATCAAGACTCCGAACCCTGCACACCAGACCCTTCAGATTTCGAGAGTTTGGCACAGGCCCACACCCTAAACATTCTTTTCTAAAGCAGGTTTACTTGACGCTTGTTTCGGTGGCCTACGTGTCTTCACTGCGTGCCTTCCTCCTATTCCTATCGACCCAGGAGACCAAGAATCAGATGGTGCAGAAAAGCCACGCCCAGGCCCGGTCTTCGACTGGGCGCTTTTCGTGGTGTTGCATGCTTGTTTTTAGGAGGTCTTTTGGGGCTGTTAGGTTTCGATGCCGGAGTCCTGAGTGGTCCTGGTCTAGGTTTCAGGAGTCTTCTCGGAGTGAAGGCTTTTCGGATTGTTTAACGTTTCGTATAAACTTTTACCACTCGGAATCCCACCACTAGACTGGACACTTCTTCTGAACCACAAACCTCACGGTATCCCACGAACTTCAGACGTCTATGAGTCTCCAGGGTCCGCAGGACATCGAAGTATCCTTGGGATCCGGAGTCCGTTGTGGTGGGGAAGTACTCCGTTTTTGCATGGATTCGTAAACCCTGAACCCTTAACCCTCTGAGTCTTAACTCTAGAGAGTCTAGAGACCCCCCATGAGAGGCTGCAGCGTTGAGGGAAATTGAGGGAAAGGGTCGGGCTCGCAGGTTTAGGCGGCTTAGGCTGATTGTAGGGTGTGTGAAATCTGGGGTCAAAGATCGTTTTTCCAACCTCCTACACATCGACTGTGTGGGGCTTTGGCCACCACCCCTCTGCGGTGTGAAACTCAACTCGCCCCTGTCGGAACGCCTTGAGCAATTCTCGAGTGTCCCTTTCAAGAGTACCGCAAGTGCCCCACAAGTATCTAGGAGCTCTTAGTTGACACCTCGTGGGCCCTTCCAAATTGGAGCCCAAGTACACCTTGGCAGAGGTCGGCATCAGCCAATGGGAGTCGGGCCGTCAGGTGGGGCAAGTGCACTGTCGAAAACCCATGTGTCAAGAGGGTGTGTTGCATGGTGACATATGGTGACAGTTTTTTGTGAGTGGGGTTCTTGAAATAGCGAAAACGGGGGCGCTCATCTGTCTTTCAGGGTTCAGGACAAGGATCCTACTGGTCAGGGTCCTCCGCCCTTTTTGTTCTATAGGTCTCTGTTTTAGTTCAGGGTTTAGCAGTTGCGGTGTTTAGGGTGTCGAGATGTGAACCCGCGGCTTACGAACTTTGGCGTCTGGAGTCTTGCGGCGCGGGCCCACAGATAAGGATCAAGGCCGTTTGTAATGGCGCTACAACTGGCACCGGAATACGTTGTGGACAGATTGTTGCGGCTTGTGCCTTTCACAGCGATCCGGCATGCACAACTCGTTAGTGTCGTCTTCCAGCGACAGCAGATGTTGGTTTCAATTCTCTGGCCACTTCCCCGCGCGCCTGTGCGGTGTGCATGCACTGAAAGCGTTCAGGCAATCTTGTGCATCCACAAGCATTTCCGGACGCAGTGAATGCTGCATGTGATTATTACTTAACATTCCCTAACAGGTTTAGAGTCATCAAACGGAGCCATGTAAGCTCTAGTAATAAAATAACACGCCGTGCGCCATGCAATGTACATGTTGTTACATCATGAAGGGAACACCGTAGTCGTGACAGGGCTCAGACTCGCCCCAGGACTTTGGTTTAGGCTATGTGCGTGACAAGGCAACTGCTTTTCAACAGAGATTGGGATCACCAATGGCTGCAAACAAGCTTTACTGGCTTGCATGTGCCCGTGCAGGGTAGTTTTGGGAAAGGGGTTGAGGATTTGGTGGCAGTAGGAACTCACGAACAGCATACAGGACCGGAGACGGATGGGCACTTTCCCCAACCCACCGTTTCGCAGCCAACAGAACTGCAGACCCAAACTTTCAAGCGTGTCACAGAGAAGCACGACACGTACGAAGCCTCACATCTCCGAGCCCAAGCCCACGAGCCGTCACAGTCAGAGCCTCCACGAGGTGCAGTCTGACATCCCGGACGGCCAGCGTACACCGCCCAACATCCAAGAGCTCCAGGCAGAAGACCTTCAGTCAAGGTGTAAGATGTCACGAACTGGAGCACGGAGCTTTCGGCCCTTCGCAGTCACAATCCTGCTTGTCACCCAGAAGAAGTCGCAGGCACCGAATCACTCTTCGACTCCTTCAGGCCCTATCAACGAATCCCTGCAAGCCGTCTCCCCCGAAACCCCGAGCCCTCATGGTGTTCCTCTCAAGGCTATGAGTTCTACCTCGGAATGCGTCGGGTTTGAATATGGGGCTTATAACAGGATCTAGGTTTACAGAGTTCGGGGTTCAGTCGAGACATTCCTAGGTCCAGCCATATAGGATGATTGTTCTCTCGGGTTCAGAATCGGGGATGGCACCCTTGATCCCTTCACTGTCCAGCTTTCGGGGCCTCCGGTTTCGAATAGTGGACAGGCCTACATTGCCTACATGTGTGTAAGTTTTCCGGGAGTTCGAAGGATAGCTGGTTCCGTACAGAGCTAATTTCCTTGAAACTGGATCGGACCAATTGCCCTGAGGGCCCTTGATCGCCGTCTCTGTCTCTGTGGTTGTTGGCATTGATGGAGCAATCGCCCGTTAAGATTTTCGGATTTGGAGACGGGCTGCTGGCACCAAGGAATCTTGGGATGCGCGGGTGTGGCCATTCGGCGTATATGCTTGTGTGTGCTTTGGGGACATTGAGGGAGTTTAAGGCTGGGGGGTTATTGCTTGAAGCCTTGTACAGGAATTTGGCTCTATCGGCTGTTTGACACATCCAGTTCAGGGGAAGGAGCTCCCGAACCGTAAACCCCAAACCCTAAACCCCAACCCGAGCCCTACGCTTATTGAGAGGCTGGTCAAGGCTTTCATAGGATGAAGGCCGATGCATCTTTGCATGCTGTGCTTTCATAGCTGCCTGCGTGGAAGCATTTTTTGGGGTTTGGAATTTACGGATTTACGTTTTAGGGTAGCTCCGCCAAAGACTGAATAACGAGTAACCGCGAGTAGGCCCGGACCCTGAGGCCTGAGCCCCCACTTGCATTGCCAGGAGCAGCTCAGATTCATCAAGAGGGAACTCTCCCGCACGGAGGCGTGTCGGGCTTGAGGCAGGCTGCAGGCCCCAGGTCTGAGGTTCAGTGTAGGCACAACGGCACGGTGCCACTTATGTCCGAGAGTTTACAGCAGTCACATATTGGAGTTCGCTGTCTCGAAAATTCTTTTGCAGTAATTAGAATATAATCATACTGTCGCTAAAGTATCCCCAAACCCTATTCTGATGATTGAGGCCCTTCTATTCAAAGCCTTCCCTCGTGAGGAGACCACGCGGGTGCTGGAAGGAATGCTGGCTCCACCCTGCATGTCATTTTGGGTTCAGAAGGGCTCGTGAAGATCATCTTTAATACACGGGAGTCGAGGCACGAGTCTTCGGAAACATGTATTCAACAATGGTTCTAGCTTCCGCATTAAAATCAAACTTGTGAATCTGCATTGTTGCAAGGTTGGCCTTGCAGCTTGTGGGTACGGGGCTTCAGGGCTGAGGGCTTGGCAGACATGTTGAGCAAAAAACCTTGCCTCTGGTTCTAGTGTGTTTATAGGGTGTAAATTGATTCTTGGAGGCTCGGAGTCTCGGGAAACCCACAGAAGCACGCCGGAGTGCTGGTCATCAGAAACCCTGAACCCAAAACGGCTTCACCCCCCCCCCCAAATCACGGGAGCACACAGGGTTAGGTAGGGAAAGGAACCTATGAATCCCTCTGCAACAATGGCAACGGCGACCTTCTAGACTCGTCATGTATTAGTGCCTGTGGTACATCTATGCCTGTTTCATGATGAGTCTCAGGGTCCAGAAAAAAACCGGCCCGAAACATCTGAAAGCCCCAAGACCCACAAACGGTACCCCGCAGCTCTCAAGCCCCTGAACGATTCCCTGTGCCCGCCCTACCGAAGACATAAAACTACAAACCGTCAACCCCAGACCCTGAACCTAAAGTCCTTCGAACCGAAGAAGCCAAAGCCAAAATCAGCCCTGAACACCTGCCAGCACGAAAACCAAGAGAAAGCCGAACGCCTCCAAGCAGAGCTGCCGAGGACACCTTGGGGAAATGTTTCAAAGCAAAACGTTTTTGGAGCTTTAAAGGTTTTCAACTTTTGTGGCTTCAGGGTTTCAGATTGTTGGGCGTCTTCAGGGTTCAGGGTTTACGGCGTACGGCTGCATTCAGGGCTTGGAGTCTAAGAGGAATACGACTGAGGGGCTTTGGCTTTAAGAAGCCTTCACGAGGGCTCTGTGATAAAATTCCATGAATTTTATTTTATAAAGTTATTCCTGGGTCTTCTGAGGTTTGATACAGCATTTGGAAGCTGGACGGCTTCTTCTACATGTCGCTGTGAAACATGAACCATTAGGAATACGTTTGATTGTAGTGAGATCTTATCCATAAAGCTGTAAGAACCTTATCCAAAGTGCTTAGAATGTTTTCGATGTGTGCATATTCATATCGATAGATAGATAGATAGATAGATAGATAGATAGATAGATAGAAACATATATCTATCGGGGTTGAACTCACCCACCGCGCAGACCCTTTCTGTTCCCAGAATCTTTTTGTGCCCAGACTCAGGGCTGCGGACACTCTATGCATGGGGTGTAAGGATTTCGGGAGTTCCAGCTGGGGCAATTCCGAAGAAGGTGTCTTCGTGTCTCGATCTAAAGAATGAAGGGTGTAAGGGTCTGGGACTTTCGGGCCGTATCTTACTGAGGGCTTAAGTTCAGCGTCCGGTGCTAAGGTTGGGTGGTTTGAAAGGTCCGTGGTGAAGCGTACAGGTAGGCAGCTTGTGACCTGGTTGAGAGTCGTTAAGGCTTTAGGATTTTAGGGTGTAGCCTTCCAGGTCGGGCTTATGGTCAAAGCATGCTTACAAGTGCGAACAGTGTGACTTGCACAAGGGGAGATTGTGTTCTGTTCTAAACAGGGACAGCGAAGAAACGTGGGGGCAACATTAGAAGGCCCTGCTACGGATCGTGAAATCGCAACAGCCGTTTTGTGCTTTGTGCCTTGTCGTATACCCTAGGAGAGCACTTTCTCAGAGTCATGTGAAGCTCTTGTGGGAATGTGTAATTTACAGTCTTCGTGTTGGAGTCGGGCCCCTAATGACAACAGAGCTCTGCCCCTAAGCACAGGATTGACGGTTCCTAGGACTACGCGTTAAGTAGACCTCTCCGCCAAAATCGTCCCCGACATCCAGGCGTGTCAAGAACAAGGACATGCGTGCCTTCCTTGGCTTGATCTCCAGGCGGGCGTAATCACAATGGTCTGGCTTTGGGTTTAATAAGGTGACTGAACGGATGAATAAACTGACCCTAAAACCAGACCCATAGTAGCTACAGTAAGGTGCTGGTTCAACCGGGTAGATCAATTTCTACGGACTAGATGATGCAATCATGTGTTTTTGTTGTGCAGGTTTGTACATGAAAGCTTGCAAAGCCATGGAGCCTTGATGCAAAGCCCCACAGTGTCTTCAGTCCTGTCAATCCACAACCTTCGCCCTGACCGTGGCAATCTGAGTACTTGTCGTTGAAGCTTCTTGCACCCCAAGACCGTGCGGCTGCACGAGACGAACAGTCGGGCTATTGTGAGCCCTAAGGCAGTGCTGAAAGTCACGCATGAAGTGTGATCAACTTAGACCCGTGCCGCACGTCGGATTCAGTTTAATGGAGGCTTACGGTTCAGGGTTCGTGGGACCACGAACTGTTGGGGCTGGGCATCTTGATTCATTGTATTGGGGGTTAGCTCAGTGTTTCGAATTCGAACTGGACACCGGACTGTCTAGGCTTCTTTCAGATGTCGGCAAAGGATCGGATTGAAAGGCGTTTGTTGATCTCGGGGATTTCTCTTTGACCGAAGGATAGAGTATGAGGTCTATGGAAGGATGACCGATTTCGGGTTTGAGTACAGGGGTCTCAGGATCTATGTGATGGAGGTAGAGAACATGGACATGCAAGCTGCTCGGTTGCAAGCTCCTGGGCTCGGGAACCTGACGACATAGACTCCAAACTCGCAAGAGCCTTACAGACTACGGCCCATCACCCTAGGTAAAGACCCATATGGCAAGCGGAACAGAGGCTGCATCTGGCATTGTAATCGTGTTTGGGTGAAATACACTCCCTCTTGTCGAAAAACTCTGGACTAAGCTCCAGCTGGGACTGTATGGTTTACATTCGAGATGCCTCACGGGCTTCAGGCCTAGGGTCTTAGGTTCGTGGCTAGCGGGCTGGTTGGCGGTAAAAAAATTTTGTGCCGGCACATCGTGTCACGTGTTCGAAATAGGCGCCGTCTGCTGTTGGGTTTAGTTACGATTAGCCTTGTGCCGGAGAGCTTACACGGTCTTGGACTCCGGGCCTGCGACTCCAGCTTTTGGGCAGGCATACATCGGTTCGTAGATGCGGTTTCAACGCCTATGGGTCTTCGGATGTTCAATCAGCGGCTTGGAAACCGTGCATGGCTACTCGCCTTAGACTTCATCTTCAGCCGTATATTTGGCAATCTCACAGCCCAATTACCTGGAGCCCCAAACCCTGGAATCCCTAAGCCTGCGAAGACAGTTCTCAAATTCCCCAGCCCAAGGAAATGGTAGATGTTGCCGGGCCGTTGCTGGAACAGAAGGCTTCGCACAGCGTAGGCGTAGGCTTTCCCAAGGTGTGGCAGCTTTAAGCGCTACTTTCCTGTGGAAGGTTCGATACATGGAATTAGCTGGTTTTCCTAGTTCAAGATCAGTTCTAGTAGTGAGCAATTTGCCAGCACATACATAGATCCTACGCAGTTCCCCTGAATAATTTGACACGCTCTTGTACGAGCCCCGTGAGCCTTGTCTACCTAACGCTAAACCCACGCCGCCCAAGCCCAAAGCCTAAACCCAAAACCCCCAAACCCCAGAACCCGAAGGACGCAGGTTTGAGGTTTCTGATGTTTTGTTCACCTGCACTGGGACAGCAGTCGAGAAGATGTCAAAGCAGGGTTTAGGGTTTAGGGCTTGAGTATAGGGAGTTTGTAGGGTTGTGAACTAGGGGTTTCAGAAGATAGAGGTTAAGGGTTGGAGGGTTTGGGTTTGGAGTTTCTGCCTTTTTCCTGGGGACACAGGTTCAGGCCTGCGAATCCTGGCTCGGTCTCAAGGGGCAAAGGGCTTGAATTGCATGAGGTTCTGTGAATATACCAGAAATCAGCGACGGAGTGGTTTCTCCTGGCTTGGCTTCATGCTTGAATACCATCAACCGATTTCTTTCACGTTTCGGGTCACCCTTACTGCCCCTAGCCAGGCTGATCCTTCGGTCCGCAGGCTTTGCACAACCCTTAACCCTCATCAATCTGTGCGAGTCCTAAACCTCGAACCCCGGACTCCTGCGCCCAAGCAAAGCCGTGAACAGCCTCAATTACACTCGAGCCCCAAAAGCCTAGGCCTAGGCCCAGAACCTGAAGTACAGAAACGCAAGTTCAAACCCTCATCCCGGCGAAAGGAGCTAGAAGCCGAAGCGCTCCGGCTCCAAATCCAGATGCGAGACCGGGTCATAGAGGACTACTGCCGGGGCCGTAGTATTAATACTCTTCCATGGGGCTCCTTGTAACAAAACTATATACAATACAACCCCGCTACACTATCCGAATCCTACAGGCCCCCAAAAGTTTTTGCTCGGAGCATCCATGAAACACTGAAGATTGGAGGTCAGGGCGTTGGGGTTGTGATGTTCGGTTGTTGGATTCTGTGTCAAAGAGGTTAGTGCTTTCGGAGTTTCAGTTTCTGAAGTTTTGGGCTTCAGGCTTTGAGTTTTAGTATTGCTTGCGTTCGGAGGCTGTCCATAAGCCCATGGCCCTGAACTCGGAAAAGACCTGACCCAAGACATCAAAGCTTAGCAAGTGTATGGGCTCTAACAGACTCTAACATTTAGAGCAAGCCAAATCCGGCGATGCCAAACCCGAACCCCCAAATCCGAAATTCAGCCCTCAAGCCACCGCAGCTACAACTCTCATCTTTTCTTAAATCTTTACAACAACCATGCTGAAACCGTAAACCTCGTCAGGAGCAAGACAAGCTCCTGGCAGTGGAGGGGAAGGCCATCCAGGGCCAGAACCTGTAGCATTCATCGTATCAAACTCCCAAATTTGTAGTTAAGTGAGATCAGGCCCCGACACGGAACCCCTCCCAGAGCCTTGAAAGTCTGGTCCGGCGCTCGAGCGGCTTAGGGCTTGGGGTCTAAGTGTAGGGTGGGTTCTGGGGATTCAGAGCTACATGTGGTTGTTTATGATCACTATTTTCGGGTTAGTACCGTTTCAGGGGGATGCTTCAGCAACAAACTCGGACCCTTCAGACTTCAGACCTCAAAAGCATGCAAAGGTAGGATGCTGCTGTGTGCTGCAGGGGGTATTTCGGATCTCAGATCAGATTAAACCGTGTGTTTTGTCGCACTTAGGCATGTAGGATTTCGGGATCCCAACCCCAAGTCCTGAAACCAAAAGCCGACGATGATCTGGCGCGTCAGGGCCGTTTAAGGTTCTCTGCAGGCTCAGCTTAGGGTTTGGTATTCTCTCCGAGAGGGTCAGAGATACTGTAGAACTTTCCGATCTTGTTTGGGTAAAGCTTCTTGGGAAGGGTTGGGTACATTCTCAGCTGAGAGAAAATCGGGCAGCGTCAAAGACCTGAAGTACTGCTGACGACCTGCAGTTGAACCCTGTCCGAGAACTAGTGTTTATCCATCACCAGCCGACCTATCCTTTGCAGCCTAAACTCGAAAAATCGTAAAGCCTAAGAGGTTCGAAAGCTTCATGCCTTGCAACGAGCTTCAACCATCAAAAGGGCCCAGTTCTTCCCACCGAACCCGAACGCGTTTGTGGGCTTGGGGCTTGGGCTTAGGGTTTCAGTAGAGTGTGGTGTTCTGAAACTTACATCTACAGCCCGTGAACTGAAGATACAAGATGCTAAGCTGGGCCTGAAGGGTTGAAAGGTCGTATCTGCAACTTGCACGTATACCTCAGCCGAATTCGCACAGGCAGAGCTTGCGAAACCCAAGGGCTGGATCAACGTCCCAGTCGCTAGACTCATTTGATCCGTCAGGCAGTCGGCATGTGTGAGATGTAGTGACGTAGTGCTCAGAGGGCTTTCGGTGGAGCTGACGAAGGGAGATTCCCGGGCTCTGATCAGGGTGCGTGCGCGAAGAAGAAGTCTCTCTGTACATACATATATGAGCATCTGTCAAACCTTCCGTAATTGTAGTTTGTAGTCTGGTGGTCTTGGAATGGCGGATTGGGCCAAAACCATCGAACACTGACAAAGACACCCTCCTCTAAAATAACTGCGGTTCGACCAGCGAAGATCATCTGTTTTGACATGTCATTGCTGCAGCCGCATTTGTGCCTAACTAGTCAGTGTGATATCTGATTGCCAAATCTGATGGAATCATTCTTACGGTTGCTTTCACGACTATCATTTCTGCGACGACTATTCACAACATAAACACGACAACGTTTTGCGACGACGACGACGACGATTACTACGACTACGACTACTACTACTCCTCCTCCTGCTCCTGCTGCTGCTGCTATTAGTACTAGTACTGGTACTGGTACTGGTACTGGTACTGGTACTGGTACTGGTACTGGTACTGGTACTACTACTACTACTACTACTACTACTACTACTACGACTACGACTACGACTGCGACTACGACTCCGACTACGACTACTACGACTACTACCACTACTACTTCTACTACTACTACTACTACTACTACTACTACCACTACTACTACGACTACTACTACTACTACTACTACTGCTACTACTACTACTACTACTGCTCCTACTACTACTACTACCACT